GTGACGTCACTCATTGGTTTGTGGACTGCCGTTATGAAGCCTTGAGTTTGGCGTTTTCGCCGCCACCTTCTTGGATTACGGCCGTCACCATTTTTTTTCCGTTACCATATTTCGATTGCAGAGGAGTGATGTAGAGACGCCATATACGGATCTGTTAGCGACAGCGACCTGTCAATCACAGTAAGCCCGCCCTAAAGCATACCCTGCTTTATGGTCGATTTGACTCTAAATGGACCATCATTTACGAAATGAACATCATTCTGTATTGAAGAAGACTTGAAACTATAGATTGAGACCATAAACTCATGTTTACAATGTTTACTGAGGGAATAAATCAAGTGAGAAAATCAAGTATGCATGGCTCGAAATAGCAAATTTCAGAAAAAAACACCCTAATGTGAATCTGCCTTGTATTTGTTATTAGGTTTGTTCACCGTCTGGAAATCTAACCATACGGGAAGAGTTCAAACTGAATAAAAACCTTTTTAGTCCAATGTTTCCAGGTGAAAATGGATGCACCAACAATGACTCAACTTTCTCACTTTCTCCAATCTTACCAGCCACTTAGTGCTATGTGAGATTAAAAGAAAAGAGAAAAATGTAAAAATATGACTTTCTCTAAGGGAATATGCAACAAAAGAACCTCAACCAGGAACAGCAACAGGCAGCAGCCTATTACACTAACAGCAGATGAGCAACATTAACATTAATTTAAAGTCATGTTTCTGGCCACCTGATGAATTTAAGTTTTTGGTCCCCACCAACTACTGAGGAAAATATCCATCTCTTTAGCTGCTAAACGCCCCCTTTTGTTCACCAGCTAGCTAGCTAACCTGCCAGTATCTGCTGTTCAGCGCACATATTGGCATACAGTTGGTTTTTTGAGCTTTTTTTTTTAGCTGAAAACCGCCGCCCTCTGCGGCCAAAAACTATAATCACAAAAAAGGCTAGGGCTAAACCACAACATGACAGTAGCCCGCTTGAAAACCAAAGCAATGAGCTGAAAGACCCCAATGGCTGTTTTTGAGCTGAGGGGAAATGCAGAGTGATGTCTCTGTTGCTGACTCCTTTCACTGACAAGTAGTCATGCGATCCATTTGTAAATATAAAAATAGTGATAATGCCCTCTTTCAACTATGTTGCACCTGTGTATGATTTTAATATTCTTCGCTAACTAGCAAGCTAATGTTGCTGAACAGCACCGGCCTTCGTAATATGACTTTTGTATGGTGAATGGGATTTTAAATTGACACATGTTTCTGTCCTAAATCTTTTTCAGGGTCAAAATGTGCAAAGTAGGGAAGGAGCAGAATAACACGCACTCATAACTCAAAAGGTTTTTCCCTCAGATTAGAGATCGTCTTTACCTTCGGGATAAACAGTCGCAAACTGCATAAGAGAGGTTGTGGCCATATAAGAACGGAGGATACGTTGGAGCATTGACCAATTTAATTCACTCACCGGTTCACTCGTTTATGAGTGGGATGAGACAGACGCCATTTCTTATTAGTATCAAATTTGAACATTTTTTAGTAGACAGTTAGAGTTGCAAACGGAATATCACACCCAAAGTGAGGGAGGACGACGACGGAGCTTTGTGCTCACTGTGTCAGCTGTTGCGGGCATGGCCATCTGCACAGAAGGAGACAGATATTCCGAACACACAGTCAGCTGTTTGAGGCAGCATGAAAGAGGGGACGGCCCTTTTGAAAAAAGAAGCCTACCGAAAAAAGCCTCATGACCACCATTAAAACTGAGTGTAGGAGCCTGTCCAAAACATCTGCATCAGAGAGGCTGTGTGTGTGTGATTATCAGTGTGTGCTGAGGGAGGGGGGGTGAAGAGGGGAGTCTTGTCAGCGGTGTCCCACACAAAGAAGATAAAACTACTAATGGCCTGGGTTTCCCTCTAATGGAACGCTGTACGCGTCAACAAGGCTGCATTCAGAGTATCTCTTATTCATGGCTGCATTACGGCATCCAGGCCCCGGCCTTTCTTTCTATTTACAGCTCCCCCCACTCTCTTTCTCTCTGCCTGATACACGTGGGCGTCTCTTCTCAGGGCTCCTACTGTTTTTCCCAGGCTGCGCAGCCGCACCGATCGGTGCTCCACGCGTGGTGATTCTCCGGCGTCCAACAGAGCACCTCATCCCCACACACATCACATCGTATCACACTGCGGCGGAAGTGAACAGGGGTTAATTTCTTTCTGCATTTTCCGACAGCATAAATATGGAACGTTGCCCTAGGCCAAGGTCATAACACATCTTGTATGATGATGGACGGATTTAACTGTAAAAAACAGAGTCAGTATATTTACACAAGTTCTATAGGTACAATTGTGAGGTACTTGTACTAAACTTGAGTATATACTGTATATTTTACGCAACTTTATACTTCAACATCAGATGGTATTTATTTACTAGATACAATTTCCTTTTCAGGTTAAGATTTCAAAATAACATGCATTATTGAAGAAATATTAAACTAGTAGAACCCAAACTTTCTGACCTGTGTCGAGTGGGCCCCTTGTCACTGGGATAAGTTGTTAGCAGTCGCACCATTTAAGCAGTTGTTCCTTTGAATGTAAGACAAGTCAGCATCTTATTTAGAGACTACGAATTTGAGTCCTGTCTCATATTACGAGACTTCTTTTGACCGATGGTGCCAATTTACTCAAATCGACCCGATTCAGCACAGTACCGATTTTTGAGGCGGCCAGTTTGTGCCCGGCACCAGGCTGAAAGTCACTAAGTGTAATGTTATCAGAGCAGGAATGAAGCGCCACTCAGGACTCCTATCTGAAGAACACTGTGCTGATAGCCAGGAGCCAGGAGGATAACAGCACTGGCGACAGACCAGGACGGACTGCTGCTCCGCTCTGAAAGCCAAGTTTGGAGACAGGATATGCAGCCGCCACTGAAGTCTCACTTTGGACTGGTTTTCACAAGTAGAATAGACAATTTGTCTGATTAATTAAAACAGTTCCTTTGCCATTCTTTATTTAAAGGTATTTTATTTCCCCTAGGGTTTCATGCTTGAGTTTCTGTAAGTGCACCTTTATCTTTGTTTATCCGGCAGTTTTTCTTCTGTTTGTTACAAACTGCTGTCGCTGGAAACTTGAACCGCTCTCGGTGTTTAAACTTCAGCCAACACTTTAACTGACACTTCTCTATGTTTGTACACTTGAAACGACTTTATGAATATTTAACTGAATATTTTTCAGGTCTTCCACCTTGACAGACACTTCCTGCCCAATTCATCACCCACGCTTCGACTGACCTTTCAACTCCTTTCAGTGCCCCACACCATTGAATCTTCAGCTCTTTTCAGCACTTTCGCTTCAACTGATACCACAACTTCACTCAGTGATTAAATTGCCACTTCAACCACGTTCAGTGCTTACACAACTGCAAATTCAGTGACCGTCTGTTTTGCATACCGTCTACCATTTCAACTACGATTTCAAATGTTTCAGTTCATCAACCTTTTCGAATGTTTCAACCATGAATTTTCAGCAGCAAGCACACGATCTTCAGAAAATTTTGAGGTTTGAGGTTGAATTTGGCTTGATATTGAGTTCTCCATTGATATGTTAAATCCAACAAACTACACTGAGCATCCATTTTTCCGTGTGTGCGCGCTGTTGTTGAATCAGGCGTTTTCCCTCTCAATGGGACACCTGAACAGATAACAGAAAATGAATGAACCGTGTGCTGCCGGACTGATGAATTGTGCACGTGCATGTGTTTGTATTGAGATTTCTATTGAAAGTCTAAGTCATTATGCACCATGCAGGCTGGGAGAGTAAAACAGGTGAAATTCTGTTAACCCTTTAATGGAGCCACTCAGATAAAAGTAACTGACAATTTAATTTTAGTACTCTGGTCCAATTTACAGTAAAAGTACATTTTCAACAATCTGCATATGTTTCTTCATTAAAGACAACATGTCGAATGTTAAATACACAACATTGTTACATTATACATCGGTTTCTATTGACAGTATGAATAAATTAAATTAACAAAAATCTTCCAATGTACTTATAAAACCAACAAAAAGTTGTGCTGTTATGCAGTGCAATCTTTGTTTTGGTGCAGCAGCAGTCTTTGGACCCCCCTTCTGTGGTCTTCAACAGAAGAGGGGCAGACGTTGCACTGTCCCCTGTGATCAGAAGGAATCCATCAGCCTAGATTATACGAAAAAAATTATACAGATAAACAAATTCCAACAAATATACAATGGGAAAACATCTTTTGTTTGTTAAATTGATCGGGCAACAGTTTACAATCAGAAAACACCGTACACCATGGCAGGATTCGGTCATGGTAAAACAAAAATGGTTAGCAGTAACACCAAATATTACCGAACCCACCATAAAAAAGAACACATGCCATGAACACATGATTATTTTCTGCTTCCAACTTCCTGGAAGGAAGCCACCTGTCTATACTGAAAACTGCAGTGCACCCTGGGTATGTATTTTGGGCCTGAAATGCTGCAACCGAGTGCTGGAGATGACTCACACATTAAGCACTGCTAGTTCCTGAACAGTATTTTTTACAACTCAGAATGTGCTCAAACTGGTGCTCAAACCATAGCAGAGAGCAATACAGTCACTGGAACGGCGATTTAACTGTAGACACATGCGAGGTCAAACAAGCTCCGGCTCTTCTTCTGTGGTCTCAAAAGCAGTATTTCTCATATGTGAAATTAAAACTAACCCAAATATGTCCCCCCTCCTACTGCAGTGAGGACCTCAATCTGTCTTTTGCAGATGGAGCTATAAGTGGCCATATTAGGGCAGAAATCCAGAGTCTGGCAACGGGGGGGGGGCAAATAGGGGCTACACACACACACAGAAGAGTGTGAGAGTGAAATCCTTCCTTCCTTGACTGTGTACCTGCTTAAACACCTCCTCCTCTCCCTCCTCCCTCCGCCTCGCCCGGCCAACTCTCTAAACGCATCCTCAGGGAACTCTCTCTCTCTTTCTATCTCAAACACACACACACACACACTCTTATAGGAGGCTCCCAGCAGAGAACCAAACAGTGAACGGTGGAGCGCGCGCGCAACGGACCGGCTCGTTAACTTGTCCGCTTCCTATTTCTCCCCCTCCACACACACACACACACACACAGACACAGACACACGCACACATACTCCTCGTTCTTAGGCAGCTTCGGCAGCAACCGTAAAGCGGACTACCGGACTAACTACCGGGCTGACTAACCGGGTACAGAGCGACTCCTCCGGCTCTCCAGACGGTTTCAGACTGGTCGTCATCGTCTGTTTTTTTTCACTCCGGAGACTGCGGATTTTACCTTCAGTCTTTTTTTGCAGTGGATACTGAGAGTGCGCACCGCCTCCACGAGATAAACTAAGTGTGCGAACAGTTCTCTGTTTTAAAGCGGGGATCCTCTATCCGTGTGCCCGTCCAGCCGTCTTCTCTCTCCCCCGTCCCCCCCCACCGGTTTAACTGCACCGGTCAGACTTGGAAAGAGCAACAGCCTCCACCGGCGCATCAGTGAGGTAAGAGATGCGACTGTCCGTTTTAGACACATTTCACTATTATAGTCGTTCACCGGGGCCTGTGGTGCCGAAACACGATGGGGTCTCCTGTGATATCCTGATCACAGGCCTTTCTGCTGCAAAAATCCTCCCGCATCAAACTGGCTCGAAAATGTGTTTCAATGATGTTATTTAATGAGAAGAAGAAAAATATGACTATACAAGGGATGGGATCACCTCTTTATTTTAAGTGTACTTTGTACACTTTGTACTGTCTGCCTCCAGCCTCCCAACACACTCACACACATACACACACACACAACTCAATACTGGGCCATATGGAACCCACGAATATTACATAAAAGTTACATGTCTCCTCTGCACTCCCTCCTCCTCCTCCTCCATCTCTCTGTTTCACACCTGGCCCTGTTTTAAGGATTGAAGATGTTTGTCTTGTACTGGCTCTGAGCAGGGCCGGCTGGAGGAACTTCCTAATAGTGGGGCCAGACTAGCGCACAGTTTTAAACAAGGGGGGGGGGGCACATGTGTAAAATGTAAAAATGTCACACATTAATAGCCCAGGTTCGGTCAGCGTAACAAACGCATGCCAAAGAAACTTTAAATATGCTAATACGAAGTTTTATAAAGAAATTACCACTATTTGTAACCCCAAATAGCCTTGACAGATTATGAGACAACGGGCTCCTGGATACGGACCTGTAAAAGCAGCCCCCGACCCTCAAATGAGTAGGACATCCAGAATGAAAACGGACAAAAAGTGTCCGTGTTTAGTTGTTTTAGTCGTCTTTGTGGCAGTTTTGCATCTCTCTGTAGTCGTTTTGGATCTCTTTGTGGTTGTTTTGCGTCTTTTCGTAGTTGTTTGAGTCTTGGTTGTCATTTTGCTTCTCTCTTTGTAATCATATTGCGTCTCTTTGTAGTTGTTTTATGTGGCTGTGTAGTTATTTGACTCTTTGTAATGGTTTTAAGCATCTTTGTAGTAATTTTTATCTCTTTGTGGTTGTTTTGAATTTCTCTTTAGTTGTTTTTCATGTCCTTGTAGTCATTTTCTGACTCTGTAGTCTTTTTGCGTCTCATAATAGTTGTTTTGCGTCTCTTTCTGTAGTCATTTTGTGTCCTTTTATAGTTGTTTTATGTCTCTTTGTAGTTGTTTTATGTGGCTGTGTAATTGTTATTTGTCTATTTGTGGTTGTTTTGCTTCTTTTCGTAGTCATTTTGCCAGTCTTAGTAGTCATTTTACATCTCTTTATGGTTGTTTTGAGTCTTTTTGTAATAATCTTGTGTCTCTTTGTAGTTGTTTTGCGTGTCTTTGTAGTCATTTTATGTCTATTTGTGGTTGTTTTGAATTTCTGTGCACGGTAGGCCATTACAGTAATCCATCCATGATACTAATAGGGTGGTGCCGTGCCACCCCTCTGGCTCCGCCCTTTGCTCTGATTCTCCTTTTCACCCTGTGGGGGGCCACACACTCCCATCCACAGACACACGTTAGCCTTGTCCAGCTCAGTTGGCTACACATTATAACGGTTATTTCCGCCAATAACAATGGAACCACTCTGGGTCTATATTGCCGAATTAAAGTTTTTCGCTCAGGCCTATATTGATCGGTTCCGATCGACTGGACTTGTCCCCATGTTGGCAGGGCCGTGCTGGTGTGATATCAGCTGGACTGGTGCCAGCAGCCTCCGGGCTCGTTGGAGTGCCGAACGGACCGGCTGGCTGTAAAAAAGCTCAAATACCGTCTGTCAACGCCTGCCATTTATTTCCCTCAAGCAGCATCTCAGCAAGGAGCCCCTTCCTTCTTTCTTAGCCTCCACTCTCAGCTGGTCAGGGGAGCTCTGCCTGTTCCTTTCTATTTTTAGTCTCTATTTACAATGCAGTAGCTATAGTGGCACTCTCACTCCGTTTGCTTCCTTCCGTCTCTCTACCTTTGCGTCTCTCCCTCTCTGTCTCACCCTCTTCTCTTTTTACATCTGCACCTCTTTCACTCACTCACTCACTTTTTAGACGTCCCTTTCACCTTTCGGTTGTCTCCTTCAAGCTGCTCCCCTCCCCACCATCCTCATAGATCATCGAGTTGGACGGAGCGATTCAACACATTAAGCATTGGCGCTGTAGCGCGGCTTGCCACACCTGCTCCACTGTCACGCACACATACAGTGTATTAGTTTGTGAGGCTGAATAGACAGCGGAGGAGACAGGGGGGGTGGAGGTTAATCTCTGGATGCATTTGACCCAAATCAGCATGCAACCTACATACCCCCCCCAAAACAACCAGCCCACAGCCCCCACCACACACACACACACACACACACACACACACACACACATACCAAAACATGTCTCTAGAAAGCAGTACTGTACACACTACGACCAAACACCTCATTTTTCAGAGGCTCGGCAGGTTGTTAATTATCTGTGACGAAACACACTGGAGATACTGGATTTGGCCTAAATTGCCTTCAAGCGGAGAAAAAGAAAAAAAAGTTTGATTAGAAGATCTAAAAGAGTAGTTTTTAATAAAGCAAATGTAATTAACTGGTTCGTCATCTTCCGTAGTTCCTGAGCAAAAACTCGAGGCAAACCCGACCACCCTTGCAGCTCCACATCCTCGCCCACACACCCCACGCTGCTGCTCGGAGCTACAGGTTCACATCGGATTACCTTTGTCTTCTAATGTAGCAAATTTACATCAACGAATTATCGTCAAAGTATAAATGCTGGAAGAATGAGATTACTGGCATGACCGCACCGCACTGTGTTTCATAAGTCGGATATTATGCAAAGCACAGTGGGCCCTGTTGTTCCAGCGCAAACGCAGACAAAGCCTGGTTCAGACGGTACACAGAAAAATGTACATATCGACAAAAAGTTTCTCTCGACAGTGACTCAGCGCCCGGGTTGAGGACAATACATCACACGGTACACAGTGATCCGGTGCAGCAGACGAGCGTGACTCCAGGGATGGCAAAGTCGGTTTGTCATTTAGACAGTCCACCGCTTGGGTCCAGACTGTAATATCTCAACAACTACGAGATGGATCGCCATGAACTTTTCCGCAGACATCCCCGGTTTCCTCAAATGTCTGCTACTGACTTCAGTGATCCCCTGACTTTTTCGGCTAGCGCAATTGTCAAGTCAAAAATTTTTAACGTGTCCGGGACTTTGGTTCATGACCAAGTACCTGCCAGATTTATAACATTCCCGAGAGCCTCAGCTGTACTTTGTGTTAAAGGGGCACTACGCCCATTTTTTAAAATTCATACATGTTATTCTTATTGTTTGAGACAGTCCAAAAATAATAATAAAACATGAACTCTCTCCCAATTCCAAAAACTAGAGCACTGAAACTCAAATTTGTGATGTCATCGAATATAAAGTGTGGAGCCCCTCCATAGACTATGAATAGGGAAAGATTTTATAGATGAAACAGAGCACCCAGGAGGATGTTCTGAGTATATGGGTACATTTTCTGTCTCACAACTTGGAACAACTTGGAACACAACTTGGAACTTTGGAACAAAAAAAACAAAAAACATCCCCCAGTCATTGTTTTTGGAGCAACCCCACACTTTATACCCGATGAATTTACAAGTTTGAAACTTTCTTCTCTGGTTTCTAGCTTTGAGAGAGAGCAGCTGAGAAAATGACCCTACTTCTCTCTTGATTTATTACCTCAGTAAACATTGTAAACATGAGTTTATAGTCTCAATCTCAAGCCTTCTTCAATACAGCATGATGTTCATTTAGTAAATTATAATCCATTTAGAGTCAAATAGACCATAAAGCAGAGTATGCTTTAGGGCGGGTTTACTGTGATTGACAGGTCGCTGTCGCTACCAGAGCCGTATACGGTGTCATTACGTCACTCCTCCGCATTCCAAATATGGTAACTTCTGTTCTTTGGTTGCAAAATGTCAACATGGCGACGGCCATAATCCAAGATGGCGACGGCCAAATTGCCGAACTTGAGGCTTCATAATGACAGTCCACAAACCAATGAGTGACGCCATGATAACTATGTCCACTTCTTATATACAGGCTATGGTTTTACCTGATGGTAACCATGAAAAAAAAAAAGGACATCACACGTGTTTATACTCTTCGGTACGGTGAGAGGAGCTTTGAGGAGACTGACAGCATCCATGTGACAGTAAACAGACGAGGGTTCACGAGAATGGTTTATAATAATTTTGTCAAAGATATATATTGATGTTTGAATAAAATTACACAAGCACCTTTAAATGTGACAGCTGGTTTGGATGGGATGTGTTATTTTGGAGGTTTTCATTTTATCAGTAACAGCCATAATAGCTCCTGCCTGGGCAACAGAGAGAAAGAGACATTGACCATGTGTGGAGCATCGGATTAACCGTTTTGAAATGTGTGCAACTGGACAGGAAGCACTTGGTGCGGAGGCATCTGTGGAAGACGGCAGGGGACGGATGGAAAACAGATATGAGAGAGAGCGATGAAAGGAAGACGGTGAAAATGCAGCACAGCACAGGGGAAAACCTGCCTCGACCAATATCTTTGATTTAAACCTCAAAGCCTAAGACAACAGTAAGCCGCACGGCAACACTCATTTCCGCAATTTCGATTTTATTGGTTGCATCGCCCGTCGTCTGAAGATTAACATTTGCTCAGGTGTTAATTAGCTGGTAAAATGAAGATAAAACACGGAGACGCATGAGTGGCTGTTGAGCAAATGAGAGGCAGAGTAATTTGAGAGCGAGAGTTTGACAGGACAATGGAAAAGGTAAACGATGGCGAGAAGAGAATGGGGACAATATAATGGAGTGATGAGTGACAGGAGCAAAACATCGCTTTGACATCAAGGCTTTGTTCGAAATCTTATACTCACATAGTATTCATACTATTTATAGTACTCATACTAAGTATAAAGTAAAATTGAGTATGTGTTGCCTTCCCACTGCATAGTATGTGGATTTGTTTTGTACGTGAGAATTGCCCGGGTGTATAATACATAAGCAGAAATCTTT